ACACTTTTATACACAAATATTTAGCTATAGAGTCCATACTCCATACATAAACTAGTAGAATTTAATTTGAATCGGATAGTTGAGAGTAGTTTGGGTATTAAAAGTGAACATTGGTGGGAATCTATTATTTCTTCCTGTTTGCAACTCATTCGTGAACAAGGAAGTATATCCTTAACTAAATTAAACTGTAATGCTCAGTTTCTGAATTAAATAGTCATTCCTCTCAGCACTTGAGATTAAAGGGGATCTAGTTGCTTGTTTTTACAAGCAGTAATAGACCTCATTTACTTAATTTAACCGAAGTAGGAAGGGGGAAGTTCTCCAGTTTTATCGACTAGTTAAAGTTTTTTCAATGGTTTATATCTACTAGTTGTATTGAAGGATTATATCTACTAGTTGTAATAAAAGTTTATGTCGACTAGTTGTTTTAAAGGTTTATATCTACCAGTTCTAATAAAGGTTTATATATTTTAGTTGTATTAAAGGTTTATATATACTAATTGTATAGAAACTTTATATTTACCAGTTTCATTAAAGGGTTAAATCGACTAGTTGAATTGAAGGTTTATATCTACTTATTTTATTGACAGTTAATATCGACTAGTTGTATTGAAGGTTTATATTGACTAGTTGTATTGAAGGTTTATATCGACTAGTTGTATTGAAGGATTATATTTACTACTAGTATTGAAGGTTTATATCGACTAGTTGTATTAAAGGTTTATATCGACTAGTTGTATTGAAGGATAATATTTACTACTTGTATTGAAGGTTGATATCGACTAGTTGTATTAAAGGTTTATATCGACTAGTTGTACTGAAGGTTAATATCGACTAGCTGTATTGAAGGTTTATATCGACTAGTTGTATTGAAGGTTAAATGTCGACTAGTTGTATTGAAGGTTTATATCGACTATTTGTATTGAAGGATTATATTTACTACTTGTATTGAAGGTTTATATCGACTAGTTGTTTTGAAGGATTATATCGACTAGTTGTATTGAATGTTCTGAGTATGATAAATTAAACCAAGTCCCAATAGAAAACTACCTTGGCCTGGGGGGATTTTAGTCAATCAGGCAAATATTATATGAAGAATAAACTTCTATGTCAGGATTGACTATTTCTCCCTCCCACCCCTGTCTAAAAGTTGCGTGATCCGTGCCGGTACAACACGTACTGTATATGCAGTCGATCCGTCGTACTGTCTAGTCAGGCTACCCAGTGTAAAGTCGACCCAGCAGGTGTTATGCAATATCACAACTTCATTAGAAATGTTTTGTCCAAACCGATAAAACATTTCTTTTAAGTTGCTGAATTAGTTTTAATGCTCTAGGTATATGAATTGATGTTTTATTCGCCCTAGGGTTATAAAGTAATGTTTTATTTGCTCTAGTGATTTGAATTAATGTTTGATTTGCTCTAGGGATATAAAACCTGATAATCTTCTGCTGGATGCCCGGGGTCACGTGAAACTATCAGATTTTGGACTCTGTACAGGACTCAAGAAATCTCATAGAACAGATTTTTACAGAGATCTCTCTCAGGTTAAACCATCAGGTGCGTTTTTTAATTACCCCCCCCCCCCCCATTAAAACCTTGGGGTTGGGGGGGGGGGTATAGAAATAATCAATTAAAGGAATTGCTGGCAGCTGGGGTTGTTCTGGTTGCTAAACTGATTTCTTCACAATTTGAATAATTGTTGAGCTTTTTTTCCCCAGAATGATTTAAGAATTATTTTAGAACGTACAGGGAAAAATATTTACAAAATTCTTGTCTTATATCATCGACATTTTTGTTTTTGTTTTTTAGAACTCTTGCGCACATTTTTATCTTATATTACAGCTTGGCTCCAGAGCGAGTCTTGATTTCATGAATAACTTTGATGAAACCTTTATAGGGCTCAATTTTGGACTCCAATTTTATCTTTTTCTTCCTCAGCGATTGTCCCTCAACCCTCTTGTCTATCCAGATGGGGGTGGTGGGGAGGGGGGGCGTTGGGAGACTTTTTACACTGTATTCTCAATCTGAAAATACACTTTATCTGTCTGTCTGTCCGTTTGTATCCAGTGAACGTTAAAACGGCTGAACAGGGCCCAAATTTATGTGGGACCTCACATGACCCCAGTGAAGGGTTATGGAAGCCCAAAATTACTAAAAATTGTGGCCAAAAATTTTTGAAAATGCGCGAAAAAATATTATTTAATCAGCAAATTTTTGTTGTTTTATATTGTACAAAGAGAAGATGCTCACAGATTGAGCCACAGTTAAAATTTGAAATAGAAGTTTGGGGCGCTTCAGCCAAGTATTTATAATAGTTTATTGATAAAAAAAATATGTTATAATATAGGAAATGAATCTAAGAAAGTATATTTAGAGCTTGATCCATAATAAATCTCTGTTCATGCATGCAATAGGAATCTTTCCAATGTATCGATGTGAAATGGTTAAATAAGTAATTATTTCTTTTTTGTTGATTCCCAGGTGTTCAGTTTATATCTACCAATAATTAGATTAGTGAATATACATTAGGATATCAATATTTAATCATTACATAACATCTTCTAGAAGCTAATAAGAATTATATAACATTGATTTATCAGGACATTTTCTACATAACTAAATGAGATTTAGGTTGGATTAGGTTAAAGCTTAGAATTTCTGTGGAAAATTTTATCCAATAGTAGTTGAGGAAGTCTGATCAGTTTTGTGTCAGCCAATGAGAATGCCTAACTACCTACAGTTGAAGTACAGTGTTACACACAAAGGATGAGACTGTAAAGATAACCCAAAACTTGATTTTTCGATTTGCATTCAATCCAATATTTTAATGATTTACTGAATGATTAAGCACAGAATTAAGCCAGTTTTGATCTACAATGAACCCTGAATGCAAGGAAATGGACGAAAGAAATTCCATACAATCGTCTCTGAAGTCTCATCCTTGGGTAACCCTGTAGTTAAACTAACTATATCTTTTAATCTTATTTAACACATCCAAAAATTTCCCTCTCTGTACACTGTAAAATATGGAAAGCGCAGTGGTTGTTGGAGCCCCCCGTAAAAATATGCTCGCAAAGTGTAATAAACGCGTAAGAAAACTAAATATATGCTTGTGTGTAATAATGATTTTAAAAGCAGAGTCTTTTTTCTGGCGGAACTTTGTAATGTCCCGTATTTAGAAATAGTTGTTTATATTCTTGTATTTACTATTTACAACTCTTTATATTCTCTACTCAACTGTTTACTGTATGTTTGTATATTGTATATTGTCCCACTGGGGTCTGTGTTTATTTTAAATCTTGTCTTGTGTTGTTTGCTATTTCATAGATTTATTTAACCCCTGCCTTGCTAGACCCCTTCCCCTTTACATAAATATAAGAAAACGTACTGCAGGGTATACATTTTATCGAGAAATCATTAACCCCTTTTTATTTCCTTATTTTTATTATAGTTCTAAAGGGAAAACATATTTAGTTTTGAGTACAAATTATCCATAAAAGGGTAAAAGAAACTTGCCAGTTGAAGTCCAATTTTTCATTTCGCTCTTCAAAATGCGTTCATGAAATTATTCGTTTTTTAGCCATCTTTTTCTGTTTTTTTTTTAAATATTAGTTATTCTCTTTATGTTTAGACTTCTCCTCTAATCCAATGGATTCGAAGCGGAAAGCTGAAAGTTGGAAGAGAAATCGTCGAGCCCTGGCTTACTCAACAGTTGGAACCCCTGACTATATTGCCCCTGAAGTATTCTTACAGACAGGTATACTAGCCCCCCCCCCCCCTACTCAACACTGGGAACCCCGGACTATGTTTTTTTATAATTGTTCATACATCACTATGGTTGATAATTTAAAAAGTTTAAACTCAAACCTCAAAACAACAAGTCCACCCCTGAGTAATAGCAATTCTTGTGACCCTGTGTGGCATATAGACTATAGAGCCTGAGTAATAGCTTGTTTGATAGCTACGCTTGCTTCCCTGTGTGGCAGTTAGAGCCTGAGTAATAGCTTGTTTGATAGCTACGCTTGTGTTCCTGTGTGGCATTTAGAGTCAAATTGATAGCTTGTTTGATAGCTACGATTGTGTCCCTGTGTGGCATTTAGAACCAGATTAATAGCTTGTTTGATAGCTACGCTTGTGTCCCTGTGTGGCATTTAGAGCCAGATTAATAGCTACGCTTGTGTTCCTGTGTGGCATATAGAGCCAGATTGATAGCTTGTTTGATAGCTAAGCTTGTGTTCCTGTGTGGTATTTAGAACCAGACTAATAGCTTGTTTGATAGCTACGGTTGTGTCCCTGTTTGGCATTTAGAGCCAGATTAATAACTCATTTGATAGCTACCGAGATCGCGCCCAGTGGTAGTGGCGTTTATAGTTCACGGAACGGTAGCCTTTTGGATTGTGTCCTGGTTGACTTTGATAGGGGACGGACATCTTTTTTGGTGGCAATTTTTTCTCTCTTTTTGGTACTTTTTCCCAAAAATTGCAATATTTTCCTCTTTAAATTGTTTATTTTTGTTAATTTTCCCTGTTTTGAACCCCCCCCCCCCCCCCCCAAAAAAAAAAAAAAAAATTATTTCTAAATCTATTTGTTTTAGGTTATGATAAAAGCTGTGATTGGTGGTCCTTGGGAGTAATATTGTTCGAGATGCTGATAGGTTGGCCACCATTCTGTTCAGAAACCCCACAGGTAGATAGATAGATAGGTTGGCCACCATTCTGTTCAGAAACCCCACAGGTAGATAGAAAGATAGGTTGGCCACCATTCGGTTCAGAAACCCCATAGGTAGATAGATAGATAGGTTGGCCACCATTCGGATCAGAAACCCTTCCTGATTTACAAGAAACCTGTTAAACGTTGACTGATCAGGGATGTCATACATATTCCTTTTAATCTAAAACGCTGTTAATTAAACAATTTGTATACCAACTTTTATATATTAAAGAAATACTAATAGTTTCTTTCTAGAAGCGGCAGAAAATATAAATTAACTTTCGAATGATTTGGTTTTAACGTAGAATAGTCTATATTTTCGAGGGGCGCAAATAAGATATCAGCTGAGTTGAGTTCACGCTGGGTCTATTATACACAGAACTCTCTGTACGTCATGAATAGTCAAAGGTTTAAAGGATCCCTCTACGAACATTACTTTTTAAAACATTTATGTGTTTAGGAGACTTATAAGAAGGTTATGAACTGGAGAGAGAGTTTAGAATTTCCTCCTGAAGTACCGATCTCAGAAGCTGCTAAGGCAACTATTCTAAAGTAGGTTTTCATAAATGATTTATATTTTTTTCTTCTAAAACCATCTAGGCTTTTAGGGCGCTTCAATTCTGAACAATAGTTTTAGCTTTTATCTCTTGCTTTGAAAGTCGGCTATTTAAAGTCATTTTTAAATTTTGAAGGAATTTTCTTTTCGAATTTGCGCATTTTCAATTTTTTCTAATTAAAATTTTGTGTTAAGGTTCTGTAAAGATGTGGATACAAGAATACGATCCTTAGATGATATAAAAGCTATTCCTTGGTTTAAGGTAAACTATACTGCTTTATTTTACAGGGGTATATGTTTTTTAGTAGGGGTTAAAATAGAAAATTGGGACGGGGCAAATGAAATGCTAATACTTTTACTAAAAAAAATACATTTTTCCCCTAATATAATCATTCACTCTTCCCATAAAATCATTTTCTTTTCCTCTGAAATCATTTATTTTTCTAGTCTCGCCAATTTTGGTCCAAAATTCTAGCTACAATAAATGATTTGATAGTATGAAGTCCCAATTTGACTTTAAATGTTAACTATTGGAAATATAATTCCCCCCTTAAAAGGGTTGTGTTAAATGTGTTCAGAACATAATATAATATACTAACTGAAGTGCCCAGCGTTGCTTGAGAAATAAAAAAAAACGATTTACAATAAAGAATTTCTGAAAAAAAATGAATTCTTATGATACCCCTTGGGTACCAAGGGGTTTCCTAAAAAAAATTCAGCCAATTTGGTCCAGCCGTTTTGCCAGTAATAGCTGAGAGGTTTATAATATAGATGAAAATATATCGCTACAATTAGCTTATTAAGATGTAAGAACAGCAACCGACCTACAATTATATTTTACTTTGGCGAGAAAAATTGTTGTGTTAAATGAATATTTAAACAAAAGGGTTGTGTTAAATGAATATCTAAACAAAAGGTTTTGTTAAATGAATATTTAAACAAAAGGGTTTTGTTTAATAAATATTTAAACAAAAGGGTTGTGTTAAATGAATATTTAAACAAAAGCGTTTTGTTAAATAAATATTTAAACAAAAGGGTTGTGTTAAATAAATATTTAAACAAAAGGGTTGTGTTAAATAAATATTTAAACAAAATGGTTGTGTTAAATGAATATTTAAACAAAATGGTTGTGTTAAATGAATATCTAAACAAAAGGGTTGTGTTAAATGAATATCTTAACAAAAGGGTTGTGTTAAATGAATATTTAAACAAAAGGGTTTTGTTAAATGAATATCTAAACAAAAGGGTTTTCTTAAATGAATATTTAAACAAAAGGGTTGTTGTTAAATGAATATTTTAACGTTGTGTTAAATGAATATTTAAACAAAAGGGTTTTGTTAAATGAATATCTAAACAAAAGGGTTTTCTTAAATGAATATTTAAACAAAAGGGTTGTTGTTAAATGAATATTTTAACAAAAGGGTTGTGTTAAATGAATATCTAAACAAAAAGGTTTTGTTAAATGAATATTTAAACAAAAGGGTTGTGTTAAATGAATATCTAAACAAAAGGGTTGTGTTAAATGAATATCTTAACAAAAGGGTTGTGTTTAATGAATATCTAAACAAAAGGGTTGTGTTAAATGAATATCTTAACAAAAGGGTTGTGTTAAATGAATATCTAAACAAAAGGGTTGTGTTAAATGAATATCTTAACAAAAGGGTTGTGTTAAATGAATATCTTAACAAAAGAGTTGTGTTTAATGAATGTATTTAACAAAAGGGTTGTGTTAAATGAATATCTTAACAAAAGGGTTGTGTTAAATGAATATCTTAACAAAAGGGTTGTCTTAAATGAATATATTTATTAAAAGGGTTGTGTTAAATGAATATATTTAACAAAAGGGTTGTTTTAAATGAATATTTAAAACGAAGGATTGTGTAAAAGTGTGTTTAGAAATTGTTAAAAATGTGTAAAAAATAGATAATATCTGCTTGTTCTTAAATACGGTGCAGGTTCCGAGAAAGTTGAGTTCAGATAATTTGTTTATTTTGCGGGAGTTTGTATTTGTGTTCAACTCAACTTGATTGATTGATTGATTGCTTTTATAAAGGGGTTGGGGGGGTTCATACTATATTAAATCTTGATGTAGAAACTTCCTTGAGTAATTTATTATTGCATTTGCACACATTTCTCAACAGAGTTAAAAGAATAATCTACAGAATTCTAAGCATATCTAAGGGTAATATATTTTCTTTTAAAAATCTACTTCCTGTTTTTTAATCTCATTTTCTTGCCAACATTCTAATATCATATCGTCGTACGGTGACTGTTCTTGAAAATTGCTTTTGGGTTTCTACATGTGAGCGATAAGCAAATTGTAGCAATTTATTTTTCTATATTATATTATGGGTCACTTCCTAAATTCTTTAAACATTCTTAATTTTTGAGTACTTTTTTATTCTAAAAGAGGAGAACAAATTAGAGTGAAATAGGTTTGTTTACATTTAGCTGTAATATGTTAGAATTTAGGACTTAGTATTAGGTAGATAATGTATTGATTATTCAGGGAGTAGATTGGAACCATATCAGGGAGTTAATATATTGATTATTCAGGGAATAGATTGGAACCATATTAGGGAGTTAATATATTGATTATTCAGGGAATAGATTGGAACCATATCAGGGAGTTAATATATTGATTATTCAGGGAGTAGATTGGAACCATATTAGGGAGTGAATATATTGATTATTCAGGCAATAGATTGGAACCATATTAGGGAGTTAATATATTGATTATTCAGGGAGTAGATTGGAACCATATTAGGGAGTTAATATATTGATTATTTAGGGAGTAGATTGGAACCATATTAGGGAGTTAATATATTGATTATTCAGGGAGTAGATTGGAACCATATTAGGGAGTTAATATATTGATTATTTAGGGAGTAGATTGGAACCATATAAGAGAAAGACCAGCAGCTATTGCAGTTGAAGTTAAATCCATTGATGATACTTCTAATTTTGATGATTTCCCTGATGTAGATCTAAAAATACGTAAGTTTTTTTAATATTTTTTCTAAATTTTTGTGATTAAACAATACACATAACTCAAAGTTCAAGATCAATTTCCCCTGCATTCTTTGGGTTTACTCTTAGATGTTGTGATTATGCAAAAATAAAGCTAAATAAATGTTATAAGATTTATACAGTTGAGTTCATATAATTGTAGATTACCATGACGACGTATTAACAATCTTAAGTTTAATTGATGTTGATATAAAGCAAATTGAAAATTGGTCTGTAGAGTTTACAGTTACACTGAAAAATTGCTGTGTTTTATGCTCAAATATACAAAAACAGTTGTTTATTTAAACAGTTTCATATTATTATTATAATAAAATGTCTATTATTTAATATTTTTTAGCCGGTCCCCCGAGCCCTGATTCTGGTCAACCATACAAGGATTGGGTCTTCATCAATTATACTTTCAAACGATTTGAAGGAAACACGACATACTCAATATTCATGGTTCATTACCCAATACTCTATATTTTAATATTTTTATAGTTGGGCATAGATGTTTTACATTAGTTTTCTTGCATTCTAATTCCTGTGTACGCCCTTGATAAGAACCATTATATCTTTTATGATGTGATAGAAACATATCATCTGCTGTATTATGTGATATTATTGTCTGAGTATGACGTGTTTAATATCCAGGTTTAACACAACGTGGACCTCCTCTAGCTAGAGATGTTGTAAAGCAGAAGTAAACCATTCATCCCATCCATCCTTCTCCTCTGTCAGAGTTCTAGAGAGATCAAAATTTTCATAATAGTTGCCTTAAACAATACCTACAAGTTTTATGAATAATAGAAATATGAAATAATAATTACTTCATTGGCCTTAGATGTATGTATATGCTTGAATCAGGCATATTTTAAACACTGCAGGAGTGTATTAAATTTAACAAGCTTGTATTTCCCTGCAGTTTCCCTCCAATTCGTTAATTATAATTTCCCGCCAATTTTTTAAACTCGTTTTTCCGCTATTTTCAAAATTAAGATTTCCCGTCTTTTTAAAATCCCAATTTTCCCAATTTTTCCACGTCATTTTATCATAATGGGATACAATAATTTAATACAGTCCTGCAGAACTCACAAAGACTGATTGTTGGGGTTGTATGATTGGGATAGGTTTGGGAATTATTCAGTTAGTATCATCAACCCTATCAGAATTAGAAATTCTTTATGTATATTGAAAACCAAGGATTTGTAACAAGATGACTGGGAAAGTTGGATAACTTTTCATACATCAGAGAAACCAGTTTCCTTGCTTAGGGTCCGGATCCGCAGGATTGTATCTCCATGGGTCGGGTTTGGAAATATTAGAAACTCATCGGATCCAAGTGGAAACATTAATATATTTTTTTTCAAAAAAAATTAGCAAAACTTCCGCATAAGACTAAGAAATGGATCCTTAGCATGGATACCTGGATACTTACTCTGGTTGTAGCATGTTTTTTTACCAGGTAACTGGGTTTTGGTAACAACTGCATTGGCTGGTTTAATTCCTTGGTTTTGATTATATACATTATACATTATACAAGTTATGTTTTGATTTCCTTCCATCCTGATCTATTCAGTATTCATCGTGTTATGCAGTTTATAGCTTTGTTTATTCGAGGATTCAAAGCATTACAGCTTTAATGGTTTACAAGCAGTTATTTTTTTTAGTTGGTGTTGTCAAGGATATAGATTTATAGGGTGTTCCAGGACCCGGGATGTTCTAGAAGTTCTAGAACCTTGAAAAGTGTTCCAGACCCTTGATGTATTCCAGGGTCCATAAAATAGATATTCTAGAGCCCGTATGGTAGTTACAGTATATTAGCCTCTGTGATAAAATATGTTTGGATAATATGTTTGATATTATTTAATTTAAACAAGACATATCAACCCAACTACAATACTAGATATAGATTCAGATACAGGGATACAGATATATTCATTCATGGTTAATTATATTCAGGAATCTTTCTGACCTTTTTTCTTCTTCTGGGGGGTTTTATTTATCCTGTAGTCCTGGCTGCATCTTTGTTACATATTTAGATTTGATTTTTACCAATCTGTAAAAAAACCAGTTTTACTGTAAATTTTTTTATTTTTTTAAATCAGCAAATTTTTTTTGATAGCCACACTATCAGTAAAAACCAATTTTTAAAACTTCTAGGTGGTCTAGTTGTATTTTTTGGACTTCTCCTGAAGTTTACAATAAAGAATATATCAAGTTTAGCTGATATGACTCAGCACTAGCACGACTTAAGCTTGAATTTTTTTCAACTTTTATTTATGAGTTTGTAATTTACATAAAACATATGTATTCCTGTATCTGCATGTACTTGTATCCCCCCTGTGTGTACTGTACTGTTTCTGTACTGTAGTGGTTTTCTATTCTAAATTTGAAATAAATTCCTTCTGATCAGAAATATATAGTTTTATTTTATTATCTAGTACAGGGTTATTCACAATGAATGAGATTTCAGAGACGAGGAGTTTATGATGTCTTCGTAATTTTAGAGTTTAAGATCGTCATTAAAGCAGCATCCGTTGGGGTTAACCCTGTATACAAGTACAAGAAGTGGTGAGAAATCTTGCTTTTATAACTGGTTATCTATACTCTGTTAAAATCATCGTCATGTTTTGCGGTTTAAAGTTTAAACTAGGGCAGGGGCGTACGAGGGGGGGGCGCTCCCCCCCCCCCCCCCCCCCCCCCC